TTGAGGGCTTTTGGGTTTAGGGTTTGGGTTTAGGGTTTAGGGGTTAGGATTGAGGGCTTTTGGGTTTAGGGTTTGGGTTTAGGGTTTAGGGGTTAGGGTTGAGGGCTTTTGGTTTAGGGTTTGGGATTTAGGCTTTTGGGTTTAGGGGTTGGGTTTAGGGTTTATTAGGGGTTAGGGTTGAGGGCTTTTGGTTTAGGGTTTGGGATTTAGGGTTTTGGGTTTCGTGGTTAGGATTTCTGGGTGTATGTATGCATGTGTATGTTTTTATATCTCCTATCTATCTACCTACTTATCTACCTATCTACCTATCTATCTACCTATCTATCTACGTATCTACCTATCTATGTATCCATGCATCTATCTATGTATCGATCTATCTATCTATCTATCCATCAATCTATCTAACCTATCTATCTATCTCTCTATCTGTCTACCTATCTAGCTATCTATCTATCTAGCTATCTATCTATCTAGCTATCTAGCTATCTAGCTATCTATCTATCTATCTATCTATCTATCTATCTATCTATCTATCTACGTATCTACCTATCTATGTATCCATGCATCTATCTATGTATCGATCTATCTATCTATCTATCCATCAATGTATCTAACCTATCTATCTATCTCTCTATCTGTCTACCTATCTAGCTATCTATCTATCTAGCTATCTATCTATCATTACCTATCTAGCTATCTATCTATCTAGCTATCTATCTATCTAGCTATCTAGCTATCTAGCTATCTAGCTATCTAGCTATCTATCTATCTATCAACCTATCAATCTATCTATCTATCTATCTATCTATTTACCTATCTATCTATCTATCCATCTATCTATCTATCTATCTAGCTATCTATCTATCTATCTATCTATCTATCTATCTCTCTATCTATCTATCTGTTATATACTGTTCTTAAGATCTTGATTAGACCGTTGTATGACAGCTGGCTTCTTATCACTGTGCGCGCTGGCCCTAATGAGAACCAGCCAGCAAGGAAAACGTAGGAAGCGGCCGTCAGAAGCACATGAGAATGAACATGCTTTACTACGTAAGCCAGATTTTTGGGTGCAAAGCAGACTTGGGTCTTTTGACGTAAGCTTAGACGGGGCTGTTGGGGTTTAGGGTCGGCGTTCGCGCAATATAGCAGCCGAACAGAATAATTACTACCCTCAGGGTTCATCGATGTTCCCAAATCCTGTGCAAATCAATTCAGACGCCTTTATGATTCAGGGCTTTCATGTCTTCATCAACATCCTTGTAGTGTCTCTATGACCGGGATGCATGTACAGCTTGTTGTTGCTGTTGTATTGAAATGTTTAGTGCGGGGATCATCGTCATGGTTATCATTGTTTGTACTTCGTTTTCTGGTCCTGCTGCCGCCAGCATGTTATTCTTCACATCGAGGTCGGCAGCTTTATTTGCTTTGCATTGGTGCTGCCATCCTTTTGTCATCCCATCTGATTCCATGATGACTAGCCTTTTCAGCAACCGTCAACAGCTCGGGATGAAAGCAGGACAGAGCACAGAGAGAGCTGCCCTATGCGTGTCTATCGCTTGCGTGGCCCCTTCCCGAGTTTTGGAGTGCCGCCGACGCACTTGCAACTCAGCGCGCAGGATATCAGCTACATGGACTCCATCGTGTCTGGGCACAGCACAGCACCCTTTACCGAATGATGCTGTGAATAGCTAGGATAAGTGTTGAAGCAGTTAGACTAGACATGAAACATCATGACATGAACACGAAGTGGACTTCGTGAAGAGAGTATCTGAGCAGCACGTTTGACAAAACCGAGGTGTCTGGGGGAACCCGCGATGTCCCAAAGGAAAGCAGCGTCGATGCAGATCTTGCGTCCCCTTCGGCCACGGCACCTTCATTGGTAACATCGGACTACCTGCCGCCCCGGTCTCCGGGGGTTTTGCGGCCTTGCGACGGCTACTTACTGGTGCTTAAGGAGGAGTGGAAGAGCGAATTCCTTGCCTACTCCCTCTAATGTCGTATTCCCTTCTGGTATGCCTTGCAGTGGTCGCAACATTGACCCACCCTAAACCCGAAGCCCTAAGCCCTAAACCCTAAACCCTATAAGCCCTAAACCCTAAACCCTATACCCTAAACCCTAAACCCTAAACCCTCCAGTAAGGTTACGGGAGCTGTGGAGCAGCTCAAAACTGGAGGCCAAGGAGTGCGCCCACGTCCGGCGAATGGGAGGAAGTGGCCTCCGCAGCCAGACCCAAAGGGCTTTGGGTTTAAGGCTAAGGGTTCAGGGTTTAGGGTTTAGGGTTTAGGGCTTGGGTTTAGGGTTTAGGGCTTAAGGCTAAGGGTTTTAGGGTTTAACCTACCCACAACTACATGTTCGCAGTATCATGAATTCTAATGTCCCAAAGGGTCCTACGTACTGTTATGAGGGATACTTTCCCAAATCATAGTAAGGATTCCTTATATGGAAACCCTACATTCTACCATATGGGTACTTTGAACCCTTTCGAAGAGATTGGATCAGGGTTGTTAAGGTGTTAGGGATTATAGCTATTCAGGATTTAGGATGTTTGGGTGTTCTCGGGATTCAGAGTTTAGGGCTTTTAGGGATTGGTTGGATTGTATCTTTGTCGTTACAGTACCTCAGTCTCCAACCAGAGGCTCCTAACCATCAAACGGCTTCTCGCGCAACAAGGTACATTTTTATTTTGATGGGGGTTACGGCATGGACATGGACCAGACTCGCAAAGAAGCTTTCCGGGAGGCCACAGCCAGATATCATCGGCGGACCTGCATTAGGTTCGTGGAAGTTGAGCCCAACTTTACCGGAGTGCGCCTTCGAGTTGCAAATGACGACCCCTCGATTTGTTGGGCAACTTTGGGGTATCATAATACAACTTCGGGGTATTTTAAAGGCGGCCGTTTCAACCTCGGTTCCTGCATGAACCTGAACCACATGGGCGAAATTCTCCATAACCTTGGCCATGTTCTTGGCATGCTGGACGAGCAACAGAGACCCGACGCAACCCGGGCTTATTACGGTCACGGACCTCACCTTCAAGTCTTTTGGGACAACATCCCCAGCAGATGGATGCGTTCGTTCACTGCAAACGAGGGGGCCTACACCGGATCTAGATACGATGGTACCCGGGATCCCTGGTTTGGTCATGCACCCTATGACTTCGACAGTATCATGCACTTCCCTCCGACGCTCTACGGATCTCACCTCTACGAGACAATTCCTTCCGCGAAGATGCGGAACGTGGGCCAGCGGAACTTTTTGTCAGAAGGCGACGTTCTCCAGCTGCTGGATTCTTATAGGTGCAGGCGGCGCACTACCACCACCACCACCACCACCACCACCACCACCGCCACCACCACAGGCACCACCACCACCACCACCACCACCAGCATGTCATTCGGAGCAGGTGGATGCATCCAGAATCCGGATTGTGCAGTGAACCCGTGGTGCAACGATCCGAGCTACCAATCCTGGTGTCCCATTCATCAATCCCCTTGCCCGGAGCCCTGGTGCGTTGGCAGCCAGCGGTGATACGGCGTCAAGGATCCTCTTTGGCGCACTAAGCCCTAATCCCTACCGACCGTTCAATGTAAGGACTTATATAGAAGAAATCATAGGGAACCCAAAATTGAAGGTGTTATAGGGCCCAGGTAAGCCATCCTAAACCCTAGCAGGGTCTTGCAAGAAATTCGCATAGCTTCTGGTTTCTTGGCGACTAGAGCGACCCTGCCATGAAATGTATCGTGTGAAGCACAGTTTACAGACGGCCGAAATATGGGGGCCTGGATGATTACGAATGTTTTTCCTTACAGCCTGACAGCTCCTTATTCTAACTCTAGCAACTGCTGTTGATGATATAAATCCTGCACTACCTTAAGGACCCTAAACTATAGGGGGAATTATGGCATATTCCTTAGTATGGGTATTGCAGATTCATATCATCAACGTCCCTTCAACAGCAAGCTGTATTTTGATTCTTCAGGCCCCTATATTAGGTCGCGACAGGTCGCCTTGAATCAGTGCCACGGGTGTTGTTGGAAGCCTTCTTTGGGCCATGCGCATGATCTGTTCGCCTAAACCCTAAACCCTAAACCCTAAAACCCAGGGGTCGAAAGAATTAGTTCTGGTATCCCCGTTTCTGGGTAGTTCTCTAAATTAGGGTCCCTTCTTCGGGACCCCAAAATCGTACGGCACCCTTATAACAAGGATCCCCCAACTCACATTAATCCAGAGAACTACTCTTATTCTAATCCCAAGTTGAATGTGTTCGGATTGCCCAAAACCCTGTTCTAGTTATTCAGGCCCCTATCTTAACCCTACGGCTTACCTGTGACCCCAAACCCTACAACAGAGTAGGTTCTGACTCCTTTATAAAACGGCAGCGCCCTTAAAACCCTTAAACCCCTAAAACCCTAAACCCTAAACCCTAAACCCTTAAAGTGGTAGGTTTTTGGATCCACAGGTACGGCTGAAGCCCCCGAGCCCTAAAACCCTAAACCCTCAGCCCTGAACCCGACAGACCCTATACCCTGTTTAGGGTTTAGGGTTTAGGGTTTAGGGTAGACCCTCAACCCTAAACCCTGTAGGCCCTATACCCGAAACCCTGTACCCTGAACCCTATAGACCCTGAACCCTAAACCCTACGCCCTAAACCCTAAACTAGCAGCCCTCAGCTCCTAAATTAGTAGGCGGTACCCACCGGAGTCTTTATCTCGGACAGACCAGAACAGACGAGGCCATACAGTAATTGCCCAAAGGGTCCAAAGTACCTTCGTAGTAGAAGGTACGGTTTCTACATTAGGAATCGCTATTCTGATTTGGGAAGTATCCCCCGTTCAAGTACTTAGGATCCTTTGGGATACAGTAATTGGTGCACGTTTGGAGTTGCGAACACCGCAACGAGAGCCCGGCTTCGTCGTTGACGGAGTAGTTCGGACTATCTGGGAGTTTCCGAAAATAGGGGACTCTAATAGAGTACCCTAAATAGTCGGATCCTTATTATAAGGACCCCTAAATAAGGTACCCCCTGATTTTCGGAAACTCCCATCTAGCGACTGTCTCCAGGTTTTACAGTCAATGAGGAAGACCATGTTCGAGAAAAGCTGAACCCCAAACCCTAAACCCTAAACCCTAAACCCTAAACCCTAAACCCTAAACCCTAACCCCAAGCCCTGTGAGCCCCATGCCTATACACCCCTGCGTATGGCTTCATGGCACGAGAGATTTGGGGGTTTCCGAAAACAAGGGGTACCTTCTTTTGGGGTCCTTATAATAAGGATCCTATTATTTAGGGTACTATATTAGGGTCCCCTATTTTCGGAAAAGATTTTGGGAGTTTGACTTTGACTGCCAGTGAACCCTAACCCTCCAGCTACCTACTATATAGGGCCCTAGGGGCTCTAGTACCCTATATAGCAGGTACCTGGGGGGTTAGGGGAAGACATGCATCCCTACCTCGCCCAGTCGTGTCTTTCCTCACGGGGCGTTGCATCTGAGGGAGCTCGCGAAGGCTATGAAAGTGCCGCCAGCCGGGGCCCTGGCGTCATGGTGCACGGTAGGCATACAAAAAGCAGGGGCGGGAAAATTGAGCTGTCCACTCTCGTTATAATCCTGCGGAGGACAATTTTTCTCTTCGAGAGGGTGGCGTTGTCCTTGCCTGTTCCCTTTCAGTCTTTAAGTTGCTTCTGAGTGCAGCAGAAGAACCGAGACTATGTGGAGAAGGCAGAGTCATCCAGGCATTGCGAATCTGCCTCAAGGTCTTGGAATCCGTCATCCGTATGAGTATGAAGCCTTTAGTAAACCTTGTTTTGTCATCCCTATACGGCCCTAAACCCTAAACCCCTTATGACGCTTGTTTTTGTGGGCTCTTGCTTATCATCGTCCTGTGAGACACACGACTTGGACGTTGAAAACTGGTGTGTTCGCAAGCTTGTGCCTGAGCGTGTTGTCAAGATCAGCTGTTTAGGCGTTTAGGGTTCTTGTTTTTTTGGAGATTTGGGGTTTTGTGTGTATTTGGGCGTTTAGTGTTCGGGGGTCTAGGGGTCTATCCGTGCAGTCACAGAGACACTTCGGACGATAGTTCGGACGGAGCACTTGGCTTTAGGGATTGGGGTTTAAGGGCTTATAGGGGCTTTTTTGGGCCTCGGGGATTGGGGGTTTAGGGTTGGGGTTTAGGG